GTTGATTTGGAGTTTGAGCCGGGTACAAAGCCTAGGTTTTCAAAGCCTTATCCAGTACCGTGGGCCAAAGAAAAAATCTTGGAAGAACAGTTGGATGCATTACAGGCCAGTGGCGTGATTGCCGTCGGAGAGCCCTGTGACTGGAATTCACCAGTGATTCTCGTTCCCAAAGGGAAATCTTCCGAGTTCCGCATTGTCCAGGATATGCGCGAAATTAACAAAAGTCTTTTGCCTAAGAAATTCGTGCTTCCAAGCATTGACGATTTTCTGCAGTCCCTTCATGGATGGCAAGTTGCCAGCTCGCTGGATGTAAAACATGCATTTTGGAATTTAAAGTTGTCGAAAGAGTCTCGAAAAGTCTGCGCTTTTTACGCCCTAGGAAAGACCTACTATCCGCAGAGAATGCCCATGGGCTGTGCCCAGTCCTCATACTTCTTGCATGTTGCAATGCATCGTGTTCTCGGGGACATCCCCGGTGTATCTATTTACGCCGACGATGTGTTGCTGACGAGTGCAGATGTCGATAGCCACCTGAAGCTTCTCCATACAGTACTAGATAGGTTGAGCCAGGCGGGCCTGAAATTAGCGCCCAGCAAATGTCGCATAGGCATGCAAAAGCTTTCTTACTTGGGACATTTGATTACACCCGAAGGCGTGTCAATTGACCCAGACAGAGTGAAATGCATTCAGGAGCTCAAGCCTCCCACCACTGTGAAGGAGGCGAAACGTATATACGGCTTTTTTGCATGGTTCAGGAAATTCATCCCATCTTTTTCGGACACTTCGGCGCCTCTGATTCGTCTAGCGAACTCATCATCGTTTTACTGGGATCGCGAACTAGAGGCGGCATTTGATTCATTGCGTACATGTTTGTTATCGGGCCGAGTACTGGCCTACCCAACGCGTGACGATCCGTTTGTCCTCTATACAGACAGTAGCACGGTCGGGTCGGGTCAAGTCTTGTGTCAAGTCCAAGGTGGAGTGGAAAGAGTTATCGCATTCAACGGCAGTAAATATAACAAAATGCAGTCAAAGTGGACGATTTACGAACTTGAACTTTTCAGCTTTATCACAGGCCTAAAGAAATTTTATAAATACCTTGCGGGCGCCGATTTTACATGGGTCTGTGATTGCAAGAGTGCGCTTAAAATACTACAAAACAAAGATGATGTGAACCCGCGTATAGTCAGGTGGAGAGCTTATGTCAGCCAATTCCATTTTCGGGCCGAACATCGACCAGCAGCGTGCATGCAGCACGTGGACATGCTGTCGAGGATTCCTGAGAGCCAGCCTGGGTCTGGTTCGGGCTCCGGCGGGGGTGGCGACAGTTCGCTTGATGGTACCACAGTCGTGGCGGCTCCGGTCGGTGGCGCTGGCTCAGTTGCCGGGACCGTGCTCGGGTGTGACGGCGCTCGGCGCCCGCCGCCACCGGCGCGCGGAGGTGGCGGCGATCGCGCCGGACTGACGGGGCGCCGGATCCCGTCCGGGCCGCGGCCGCCGGATTCGAGCGGCTCGCACGATGGGCTGGGGTCGCACGGGTTCCGGCCCGTGCCGCCGGCGTCGGGTCTGCCATCGGGGCCGTGCGGCCCGTCTTCGGAGCGGGTGACGGGAGGATGTCAGCAGGGTGTCGCTTCCGGTATGACGGGTGAACGAGTGAATGCGGTTAGCATAGACGGGACACGGTTATCACTGGATCCAGACTCAATCCGGTGGTACCAGAAACATGACAGGGATTGTCGTGCTCTGGTGCATCGTCTGAAGCACCAGAAATGGCCGAAATTCTGTTCACCTACTCTAAAAAAGCAGGATGTTACAAATTTTATTTTCCGTGATGGCATTCTTTTTTATAAAGACATTACGCGCGCAACGCTCAAGGTCGTGTGGCCCAGAGCAAAAAGGTATGAAATTCTCCGCCATAATCACGACTCGTCGCACCACGGACACTGTGGTGACCAGAAACTCTTTGAGAAAGTGTCCAGGGACGTGTGGTACCTTGGTCTGAGACGTGATTGCGAGAATTACGTCGCCAGCTGCGAGCGGTGCAGTCAGCGGAAAGACGACCGGGGACCGCCCGCGCCACCACTTCTGCCTCAGGATCCGTGCGGCCCGGGGGAGGTGTTAGTGGTGGACGTGATGCATATGCCGAACAGCCGGTTGACTGGCAGAACATTGGTGCTAACATGTGTTGATAAATTTACTGGTTTTCTCTCTCACTATCCGTTAGAGTCTGGATCCGCAGAGCACATCGTAGATGCTCTGAATAAGCACTTTTTGACTTTTGGACCGCCCCAACGTATCGAAACGGACGCAGGGACAAACTTCACAGGTCACAAGATGGCAGAATTTTGTAGCTTCTGGGGAGTACATGTCAGAAGTGGCGTAGGTTTTCACCACGAAGCAATAGGTAAGATCGAGAGACGGCACCGGGATATCAAGCGTCGCCTGCGCGCCCTCACCGACAGCCATGGTGCAGACTGGGAAAATCACTTACACGCTATTGTTTTTTCTTTGAATAACGAAGTCTGTGCATCCCATGGATTTTCCCCTTATTTTCTCTATTTCATGCGGCATACAAACACACCCATATCTCATCTCACCGCGCAAGCAGTGCCGAAATATACCGATGATTTTGTCCATGAAACGCTGCGTCTACTGTCGGACACGTTACGCACCGCACACAATAGGCTGCGTGAGACACAAACAAGCATGAAACGTGCGTACGACTTACGTCATCGCGCACGTGAGCCGGCTGTCAAACCGGGCGATCAGGTTTTGTTGCGACGTTTTGATAGCCCTTCGCGTGTGTCGCGAAAGATGGTGGCTCCCTGGTCACCAATCTACATAATGACGAAACGCCTTAGCAGGCGTCATGTAGAATGTCTCGACCCACGAACAGGCAAAACACGGCGGACACACATCAGGTATGTTAAGCCGGTGGTGGGGCGAGACGTGTAGGCACCTGAATGTACATAGGCATTGCGTCGTGAGGCGGGATGTGCGAATTAGCACGTGCGTGTGTGTGTTTGGGAATATTGAAGTGACGTGACGGGTTACGGACATGTTGTTTCGTTTCATGTATGTTTTTTTTTTTTGCGCGGAGGGAGGAAATGTGAGGGGAGGAAATGTGAGCCTCCCCCGTTTGCTCCCCTCGAGGTGCCTATGCGGCTGTGGCTGGGGGCGCCTCTGCTCCGCCGCAGGCGGGTCAGGTCAGACGGAAAATACAGTCGGTAACTGGCTACGGTCGTGTTCGGACGGGGCGCGTGTCCCGTATCGCCGGTGCGCGCACGGAGTGCACGGCGCGTTCCAGCGTTACAGTCACCGCCTGCCCTTCCCCGGCTCCCGTCACGGCAGACAGCTACCCGACAGGCGCTGTCTGCCCTCCCCGGCTCCCGTCACGGCAGACAGCTACCCCGACAGGCAGGCGCTGTCCGCCCTCCCCGGCTCCCGTCACGGCAGACAGCTACCCCGACAGGCAGGCGCTGTCCGCCCTCCCCGGCTCCCGTCACGGCACACGGGGATCAGTTTCGACACAGCCTCGAGACCAACAAAGTGTGCCGGCTAGACGGCGCGGCCCAGGCCGGCCGGCGACCGGTGGCCGGGACGTCACGTCTGACCCGGCCAGGCCGCAGAGGGCTTCCCGGGAGTCCTTAGCCAGCCGGCCGTCGGGCATTCGACCGCGCCCCCGAAATGTCCGGCGTCCGCACTGGAAGACGCTAGGAGCATGGGACAATAGGGCAACATGCTATCGGCCAAATGTTACATATTTGATCAACTACGTGTGTTGGTGAGAGGGGGAGTGGTGTTTATCGCGCGTACATTTCTTCCTCAGACGAGACATAGAAGAGGTGGTAGCTCACAAGCTCGTTTGGTCACCGTAATCAGATGCAGCATGAGGCGCTATCGCGGCATGATCTAACCAAAACATTAAAGTGTTTTAAAACACCGATTTATCATACTTGTGTGACTGATGATTCTATGGACGCCGAAGCGGTATCTAATGATCGAGGATGATTCATAACCAAACAGTGCAAGCGGTCGCCGTTCTCGCTTTGTCCTCCCAAATTTGGACAGAGAATGGGCCACTTTTGTCCCCGCTCGAATGCCCTGATGGTCTGTCTTGTCATCTGTGGCTTGGACGAGCTCACGGCTCAGCTGGGTTGAACTAAGAGCGGGGGAGGGGGATGGGGCTGACTTATCTGCGAGTTCCGACCGCCGCGCCGCGCCGGGCCGAGCAGCGCCGAGACGGGAGAAAGGGTGTGTGACTCACCCGGCTCCACGTGTGCCTCTGTATCATAGGGATGGCCTGTTTAAAATAGGCAGACCGGACATTGCAACGAAGGGGAACTAACTGAAACTGATGCTGAAGGGGTAAACCTAGTACACATGTGGCACGTTTCCCTCTTTTCATTCGATCACTTGTGTGAAGTTTAGATTATTGTTAACGTCTTTACTGGCACAAGTTTGAGCCGCACCATCTCAAAGATGCCATTAATCCTAAAATTAGGCGCAACTTGAAAGCAGCACCTATTATGTTTGCTTCACGCTGTTATGTTTTCTGCATTCATAGTCCCTGCAATTTTACGAAAAATCAAAGTAATTTTTTTGTCGCCGGTTCCTGGTATAATGCATTGGCTCGTTGCTTCGGTGTTGAATCATTGTTTACTATGTAATAGACCAGCAGTCATGTTCTGATCCCAGATGTCTGGCATTAACCTTTGGCGGCGTGTTATGTGACGAATGCTTTTCTAACGTATTCAAAGGATTCAGAGTTCTTGGCGCCGTGCCGTGTTTTGATTGCTTTCATAGTAATGTGCGTTTCATGTTCAAAGTGCATTTGTTTGCTTTGCCATGACTTATGTAACGTATTGATGTGATCCATCAAACACTGACTCCTCACCATTGATCACTCGTCCTGAAAGCCCACCACCGGCCGTGTACTGCTAGCCTCTGACGGACCGCCGCTGAACACTGACCTCTGACCCCGCCCCTCCCCTCTGCAGATGAGCGGCAACCGACTGAGTAAGAAGGAGCGCGACCGGTTCCGGGAGGAGGCCGACCTGATGAAGGGCCTCACGCACCCCAACATCGTCCGCTTCTTCGAGTACTGGGAGGTGGACAAGATCCGCCGCCGGTGCATCGTGCTCGTCACCGAGCTCATGACCTCCGGGACGCTCCGAACGTGAGTCGGGCCCGGTTCGCCGGACCGGGGCGTGAGCTCAGCGCGCGCCGGGGCCGGACGGCGAGGTAGATGGATCCGGACAGGATTTTCGGACGCTCAAAACGAGAGGCTATGAGAGAGGGCGTGGGTTCAGTGCCCGATCGGGAACCGCGGGTCACGAGTGAAAATTATCGGCTCGTGGATGTGGAACTTGGTATGAAGTTTGCAATGAGTGTATCCCGCGTTGAGAATAAACACAAAGGATAATGGCTGAACTTCTGGGGATTATTTTTTCTTCTAGATTTGGGATTTTTTTTTTTTCAACGATCTCCACATTTCGAGTGAGTGTTTGAGGTAGGTAACTATAAGTCAAAGAGGCAATTGGACTGTGCATTTTGATAAGATGCAATTCACTCAATACTTTTTATGATGCTCTACAGAATGAAATGTCCGCCAAGTGCGGATGAATGAGAAGTGGTCTATTTTCTTCATATAATGGCGCTGTGACAGTTTCATTGTTCGCTACTGGAGTCATGGTCGTTGGTGCGACAGTAACTATTCCTACTCCGGTTATTGGACGTTTTTTGTTTGTCCCTACCTATTTGACGACGGATATAGCATATCCGGCTGCTCCACGAAATGACCCGCGATACTATCTTTCGCCACTGTGTGTCCGTTGGGTCGATTAAGAGCTAGGGGAAGGTGGGGTAAGACGGCCCAGCGGGGCAAGACGGACCACCAGCCCTCCCGGCTGAACCGCTGCTGGTATCTACTGCTTTATGCACTCACTATGTTTGTTTTCCTTCGTAACAATGGCCACCTTGAGCTCATGCTGCTAGGATGCATAGCTTTTGAGTTATTGAGAAAAATATTGTTTTTCGTCAAACCGATCTAATATAAGAGGTCTACGGGTGATTCAATTACGGCGCCTTTCTGGCATGATAAGTTTCTATTTTGCACTTAATTGTGAAGAACAAAGTTATAAACTAAGTTTATAAACTAAGTTCCTAAGACACACTTTAGGAAAGGCAAGGTTTTGCAATGTTGGGCTATTTGACATATACGTCATGATAATGACAGAATTTAGATTTGGGGCAAGACGGACCACTGTGTTCCATCTTACCCTGTGGTGGTCCATTGTACCCTGCATATGGAAAGTTCTTTTCCAAAACATTGACACAAGCTTAAGTAAGCTAATTTTTCAGGAAGGAGTCTTTGTTGCATGTGAGCCATGCATGCAAGTGCTCAGTTAGCATGCAATCATGCCAAACGACAATCAACACACATGTTCCCAGCTTTTAGCTGCACTTTCATCACACATGAGTAAAGAATAAAGGCTCATTTTGTTATTTTACCATTCTGGTTACTTTTTCTTACAAGAGTACAGAGCAGAAGTGTAACACACATGAACGGATAGCAGGCACTGCTGGGTGGTCCGTCTTACCCCACGTTTTTTCTTGTCTGAGTTTTTGACATGTCCATCTTTAAGAGCATCCACCACCTAGATGTCTTTAATTTGAAATTTAGTCTTTACACATATCAACAGAGGAAGGATTGAGCATTCCGAAGACTATAAATAATATGAATTACGAGAGCAGTGTAGCAAGATATGCGGCCTCAAACCTTAGCTGGTCCGTCTTACCCCACCTTCCCCTACGGGGGAGCAAATAACTGACGGTTGCCACAACTGCGTCATGCTTTCAGATACCTGAAGAACTTTGGTCAGAAGAAGGTGTCTCCGAAGATTATCAGCTCGTGGTGCCGTCAGATCCTGAAGGGCCTTCAGTTCCTGCACTCTCGAAACCCGCCCATCATTCACCGCGATCTGAAGTGTGATAACATCTTCATATCGGGCACCACCGGCCAGGTCAAGGTCGGCGACCTCGGTCTGGCCACACTGAAGAACCGCTCGTTCGCCAAGTCGGTGATAGGTAAGTACGGCCGGTACTGGGCCGTTGTGCGGCTCTCTCCGCTGTCGGCGGCGGTGGCTCGGCTCAGTCCGTCGGGGGACTGTCGGGAGGCGGTCGCCCCTTCTGGGAACGGCCGCCGCCGCGGAGTGGCAGGTTTGCGTCACGCGCCGATCGGACCCGGGCCGCGGCCGGCCGGTCTGACTCAGTGGCGGCGGCCGCGGCCGACTGCCTCCGTATGCGGCGGAGATTCCGGCGGCAGCGGCCGACTGCCTCCGTATGCGGCGGAGATTCCGGCGGCAGCACGGACTGCCTCCGTATGCGGCGGAGATTCCGGCGGCAGCATGGACTGCCTCCATATGCGGCGGCGGCTGGTGGCTCCGGTGACCCGCGGTGACATCGTTTCGAACGGGAATGCCGAGCGACCGCAGCAGCTTTTGTAATGCGCTGGGTACGTCTCGCAGCTGATTTGGTTAGAGATATGTTCGGAGCTGGGCCACGTGCATAGCAGACGTCCCGACGGAAGCGCGACTAAAACTTACACTGTTTGATGTGTTGTGAAACTCAGAATTGGGAAATTTAGTTTCCATCGAAACGTGTGCGCGCATTGAAGTGTATGGGCACTTCACCCGGTAGTTCAGCTCGATGTAGTTTTGATGTAGTTCGAGCTCTGATGTATTTCCAGCGATATTGGCCCACAATCCGCCCTCTCACTCGGTTCCTAAATCTCCGCACTGTTTCAGCATTGTGCCATGCTCAATTTCCGGCCCCGTGCCATCGCCCCACGTTTCGATTGGATGACGGGAACTCTCCCAGATGGGCTCCCAGTACCCCTTCTGTGCACCGTCCGCACCTCGTCCGTCCGTCGTCCTCATCGTTCCGTCCGTACCTTGCCGTCCCCGTGGCCCGTCCACAGACACTGACTGTTCCCTGACTGTCCCTGTGCGCAGGCACGCCCGAGTTCATGGCGCCCGAGGTGTACGAGGAGCACTATGACGAGGCCGTGGACGTGTACGCCTTCGGCATGTGCATGCTGGAGATGGTGACGTCCGAGTACCCGTACTCCGAGTGTACCGGCCCGGCACAGATCTACAAGAAGGTCATCACGGTGAGTGGCGAGACGGAGGGAGCCAGGCATTATGGTCCGCTGGATGGGGAGGCTAGTGAAGCAGCCCACACCCCCGGTATTTCGCGAGATGATTGTCACTGGGTTGGGATTGCTTGTTATGCATCTTGAGTGTCATGCGCGTATTTTTTGCATGAACAGGACTTTGTCGTGCATGTTCACTAAATAAGGTTGGTGTATTCTATAATGGAAACGTTAGCGAAACGCATTGCAGGGACACACACGGTGGAAGTGGTTAGCTTTGGTACTTAAATCATAAGTAACGTATATCCTATCAGTTAGCACTTAGCAGTCAAATAATTGCCGTTGTTTCTAGATTCCTACAATGCAGACACGATTGAGTCATATTTGCGTTGTTTGACGCCTATACAATCACACATTGGGGGCATGGTTGGGTACATCACCAATTCATGCTGCTATTGTATTTTCGGCGATTCAGACGGAGCTGTAGCTTTGCTGAGCTACATTGTTGCCGCGGTTTGCTATTGAAAAGGCATGGCTTACCGCACTTTTCCTGTCTCGCATTCCTAAGAAGCAAGGCGTCGCTCGTCGCCACACGGACACCGAGGAACTCATTCTCGAAGTTGTTTTCTATGACTGAGCCAGACTTGACATTTCCGGTTTCAATCAATATGATCATCTTCGTTGAATGCGCGGTGCCTGGTGTTTTTTTTTTTGTCGACCCGTTCGTGTCAGATAAATCAAAAAGTTTTTTCTTCCAAATTTATGTGACTGTTTTCGAACATTATGAGGTGGAACGGTTTACCAGATTTACTGCCGTCAGGCACCTGTAAAACGCCTTTGTACAAATGACGTCGATTGGAACGGGCCTTCCGCTGAGTTCGGCTCTGTTATTTGTTATTTTCTAGATAACGTAACTGTTATACGAGTATTAACCCTCGCCCATGTAGGGGGGGGGGTTGGTGCAACCCCCCCCTGAGGTTTTTCGGAAATAGTGCAAAAACAGCGGCGCGCAGCGCCGCCAAATTTTGGGTACCTTATGGGGCAAACCTTGCGCATCTTTTGATAAAAAAAATTTGACCGGGTCATGTCAGGTCACGGAGTTATGACGTCACAAAGGGAACAGCCTCCGGCCGGATTTTCACAAACTGAGTGCCAACGCCCGAGGTTTCCTGCCAGTGGTACGGACATCGGTTGATGGATCGTGATGAAACTTCCTATGCATGTTGGGGCAAGTATTGGCTATCATATGGTATAAGAAACTTGACCGGGTCAGGTCAGGTCACGGAGCTATGACGTCACAAGAGGAACAGCGTCCGGTACTATTTTTGAAAAGCGCCCGAACCACTATTTTGCTAATTCTTGTCACCTCAATGGGAATATGCAGCAATATTAGCTTCTTTAGGGAGCAAATGGACCTCCCAAATCCAAAAATACAATCAGATTTCAAAAATTTAAATTTTGATTTTTCGAATTTCTGCCGCCTACTGTGACCTTGCCGACTTCCGGCGCTCCCAACGCGCCATTTTTAGAGCTAGGGAAACGAAATACATACCAAACGATAGAGAATTGATCAAGGAACACGATAGTGAAGGTTTCAAGTCGATATCTCCCACCGTTTTGCCGCAATCGCCGCGGAAAGTTGAAAAAAGTCTATTTTTCCGAAAATTTGACCTTTGACCGGTCAAAGTAGGTCAAATGTTGACCTAGGACCAAAAAATATACCACCAATCGCGAGATCTCGGCGAGAGCAATCCGTTGGTCTTTTCCGCTAAGCTCTACGACGCTCCGTTTTCAAACGCCAAGGGGGGGGTCGCACCAACCCCCCCCCCCCTGCATGGGCGAAGGTGGCAGATCGCCGTTTACGGGCGAGGGTTAATAAATGTTGTTGACCTTGGTCAACCAAGGCACGATCAACTTAGGCTCATTTAGTATTGATATTAGTTATGTAATTTGTGCTCTAATTTGCCGACATGTTTCGATTTTCAGCGGAAGCCGGGCTTACGTGAACACCATACACTGCTATAATTGAGGCGTTTCTTTCCACAGGGCATCAAGCCGTCCAGCTTCGACAAGATCGACGACTCCCAGATGCGCGACATTATCGAGTGGTGCACGCGGCTCAACAAGACTGAGCGGCCCACTGTCAAACAGCTGCTGAACCACGAGTTTTTCGCCGAGGACTGCGGCATGCGCCTGGACGTGGCCAACCGGGAGGAGAGCATCAGCTCGGACGGCAGCGTGGTCGAGTTGCGACTCCGGGTGCTGGACGCCAAGAAGCGGCGCGACAAACACAAGGAGAACGAGGCCATCCAGTTTAACTACAACCTCAACAAGGACAACCCGGAGGAGATCGCCAAACACATGGTGAGGCCGCTGAACGGGGCGCCGTGCGATGTCGGTGCTGTTTGAGGGCCGTGGCTGTGATTTGCTCATTTATTCTTACATCACCAACGGGCTAATGCCCGTTGACAGGCGAAGTCAATAGATACAACTGTCCATTTTGATAGACACGTCGAATTGTCTTGTTTTTGAGCTTGCCTGACCACATATGTTGCAGCACTTCCATCACAGTCGTACGAATGATGAACGTGCGCTCCCGGATCCGGCGACTGGGCGTTTATTCGCGTGCGGGGCTATAAGACGTAAATGCGGTCAATATTATCTGGCTTGGCAGCCGGCGCGATGGCGTCATGCGGTCCGCCGCATGTCGGACTGGTATTCCCCTGTCCGTGGCGCCGCCGCAGCCAGCGGGTGTTCCGTACCGGCGCCTCTGCTGGCCGCTGCAGCCAGCGGGTGTCTGATGGCCCGGGTCCGCCCCCCCCCCCCCCACCACGCCACAGGTGATGTCCGGCATCCTCACGGAGGAGGACGCCCGCTCTGTGGCCAAGCTGATCAGTAACCAGATCCAGAGTCTGCGCCGCGCCCGCGAGGAGAAGCGCCGCGAGCACGGCAGCGCTCCGGCCGGCAGCGCCGCGTCCGGACAGCCGGCCGGCTCCGCTCCGCCGGCCCAGCAGCAGCCAGCGCAGACAGCCGAGACTCAGCAGCAGCCCCAGCAGCAGCAGCAGCAGCAGCACCCCCAGCAACCACAGCAGCAGCTGCCGCACCCCGAGCAGCCGCCGCAGTCGGCGCAGCAGCAGCAGCCGCAGCACGCACACTCGCAGCAGTGTCCGCCCACGCAGCAGCTTCACCCGGAGCCGCTGCAGCAGGCGCACTCGCAGCCGCTCCCGGCCGCCCAGCTGCCGCCGGCGCAGCCGCAGCAGCAGCCGGCGGCGCCGCAGTCTCAGCAGCTGCCGCAGCCGCAGCAGCAGACCCAGCCGCCGCCGCCGCAGCCGGCGCCGCTGGTGCAGCACCAGGCGTCCCAGCCACCGCCGGCCGCGGCTCCCCTGGCGGCGGCCGCGGCCGACGAGAAGAGCGCCTCGGCGCCGCAGCTGCTGCAGGCCGGCGACGTGCCGCCCCGGACACAGCTCAACCCGGCCACAGCAGACGTGAGCACAATCACGGCGCTCGGGCACGCGTGGCCGATTGGGGATGATAATATTAAAACTGATCACTAGAAATTGATTTAAAAAGTCAACAATGCCTAACTGAGCTAGTGTGACACTAGGGTGACCCGCGTGCTCCGCAACGCGAAAAGGGATATTTTCGATCGGCGGGTGTTCGGTTGTTCTTGTGTCGGTTGGGTTATCTATCCATTTCGGTCGATTGCTTTTTGACGGCTAAACGTTTTGGTTTGTGGAAAAAATATCCACCGCATCGAGGTGCCCGTGTCTGATAAGCATGCTTTCCACTTCAGAATCTGTCAAATGTGCTTTATAATTGAGATGCGTAGTTTTAAGACAAATGAAAGGCGTAGATAATTTTCGCTAAAAATCGTTTTGCAGAGGTTTAAAACATTTATATTTTTAAGAATACTGTTGCTTGTCATGCAAACGTGATGATTGGATCTTGGAGAGAATTGAATGCTCTTTCTAATGATAGCATTTTCAATTATCAAGCGTATCAGGTTAAGCAACAAATCCCGTGTATCTTTTTAGTGGCACATTATGGACAAATACCATTTTAATTCAGCGATTTTTCCACATTGTTTTTGATCAATTAGCTGTCCACAATTTTTCCATGAGAGGCGGTACATTTCTCTTGGCAATTGACGTTGTTTCAACTCTCTCAGTCTGATGGTCACGGGAAAATAAAATAAAATCCAAAATCCGTTTGAAATGGCACTTTTTGAAATGAAATTGCCCTCACACTTGCACGTGGCGCGTGCCACCCCTGCACCGCACACTATTCGATTGCCCGTTCGATTCTCTACACGATGCTGTTTTCCCCGTGCCGATCGGGCGCACGGCTACCGAGATATTGCACGGGGAACGGACCCGTGTCGGGCAAATTTAGCCATTTTCGCCCGTTTTTGCCAGCCGATTTATACATGTAAAGTCTATGACGCGAATTTGCACTTTTTGGGCACGCGCCACGCGCTCGCTATCGATCCGATCGAGCCGAGACCGCCCAAAGGCACGTTGTCCATCCTTGTTCTATAACTTGCGCAAATTTCAGCGCGGTAGGTGCAACGGTGTGACCTGTAACCCGCGCTACGTAGCACCATGTCGCGACCTTCGTAATAGACAGAAACTACGCCTTCCTCAAATAGTAATATAGACAAGCGGCTGCGCCACTTGCTTTGCTGCGTGGTAGGAAAAAATTGCGGCACCAGCCAATTTGCTTTCGAATGGTGTTCGATTCAAGTCGATGTGTCGTCTAGAAGCATAGATATGGACGGAAATGCGAAGAGAATTTAAAAAGAACTGTTCTGAGGGCTTTGTTGGATGAAACTTGGGTGATACAGGGTCAAGACGGGTCAACGGGTCAGCCCCGGTCACTTTGGGTCACGCCAGGTCACATAGATCACCTCCCGTCCAATGGGATCAGCCCGGGCCACTGTTCTGCTTTTGCCTCCACCACTACCCCTACCACTACCTCTACCCCTACCACTACCCCTGCCCCTACCCCTACCACTACCACTACCCCTACCCCTACCCCTACCACTACTACTACCCCTACTACTATCCCTACCACTACCCCTACCACTACCCCTACTACTACCGCTACCACTACCGCTGCCCCTACCACTACCCCTACCCCTACTACTACTCCTACCACTACCCCTACCACTACTACTACCCCTACCACTACCCCTACCCCTACTACTACTCCTACCACTACCCCTACCCCTAACCCTACCAACACCGCTGGGTCATGTCAGGTCACAGACTAATTTGATCCAATACGTGCTTAACAATCAGACTTTAAAAGTGTTCCCAGCCCTGCTCCTATTCGTGCCATTCCATTACCCCTAATCGATTTTGTCGAAAATGGTGCTTTGTGACAAATGTGGCGCATTGCGGCAAGCGTGGCGCATTTTCACCCGGAGATTGAGTATGCATCCTTGCACCAAATTGCACCCATATCGGACTGTATTTGACAAAACCGTGCGATTTGCGGCAAAAATGATGCCCTGTTACCAATGTGACGCATTGCGGCAAACGTGGTGCATTTGTAAATTCGTATCACAAACTATTCCTGTCGAACGAAAATCAACACATTCTCTCGCCACTTTTCATTCAAATTAAAACTTGCCCATCCGCCAATGCGAGGCACCCGCCGCCGATCGGCATGCATTTAGTTCACAAAGTTTGTCGACCCCGGCTCTCAATGAAGATCTACGAACCGATCAAAATTTCATTGGCGTTCTTCCAGCGCGCCCCACGCGCGAACCGTGCACCCCAGCGAGTCGGAACCCAGAAAAGGCGTTGACCAGCTCTGTCACCTAGAAGGTGTGCAAATTTCAACCCCCTACGATATACCGTCTGCCCTGTAGGCGAGGTCAATTGAACCCACTACACGATGTGCGGACACACAAACTCACAGACGGATTCTGTTTGAATAGTAAGTTAGACATTTAGTTCACAAAGTTTGTCGACCCCGGCTCTCAATGAAGATCTACGAACCGATCAAAATTTCATTGGCGTTCTTCCAGCGCGCCCCACGCGCGAACCGTGCACCCCAGCGAGTCGGAACCCAGAAAAGGCGTTGACCAGCTCTGTCACCTAGAAGGTGTGCAAATTTCAACCCCCTACGATATACCGTCTGCCCTGTAGGCGAGGTCAATTGAACCCACTACACGATGTGCGGACACACAAACTCACAGACGGATTCTGTTTGAATAGTAAGTTAGATTCCAAATGCTGCTTTCTCCCTCCTGGATGTAAATTTGCTGTCCTCCGCTTAAATTTGCTGCATTTTGCCATTTTCTAATGGAGCCTTTAGCATTTTCTTTAGCATTCCTAGGGCATATTAAGAGCAATTATTTTCCTTCATTTGTTTTTGTGTCAACTATGTAGCTTCTTGTTTACTTTTTTCTGCGTTTGGTCCACTTAAAAATTAATCATTGGCTCGTTTTTGTTTTCTAGTCTCGGGTGTGGTTATACGACTGAAAAGATGTTCGGAATATGTCACTGCCACTGTCCCGTGAGTGGTTGAGGACCCGCTGGCCCAACTGGCCGCCGTTTTTACTTGCGGTGTCCGTCGCGGTGTCGGCTGCCTGCCGTGTCTGCCCCTGACGGCTCGCCGACTTTACGACTCCGGTTTATGTGTCTGCCGTCGGACGACCTCCCCCTCCCCTCCCCTTCCCGTCCGCTTCTGTTGTGTTCCGTGACCGCTTCCGACCGCCATCACGTGACCCGGACACATGTGACGCTGACCCGCCAGGTTACGGCCGAGAGCTCGCAGCCGACCAGCGAGGGCGAGGCGGCGTCAGCTGCCGCCGAAAAGCGAGAGAAGCGCAAACCGTCGCGGCGGCGCAAAACGGGCGAGCGCCTGCCCCGCCTCACGGTGCTCGAGGTGAGCTGTCTCTGCCTGTGTCGCCCCGTTTACTAGCTGCTGCTGCCCGGGACCGGGATATGCGGGGACGACGGCGGGTGTTTGTGTCTCCTGAGCGGGTGATGTATGTGTGACATGTGTGCGGGCCCGGCCGATCCATTGAGTATGACTCACACACAGTGGGGGACGGTGAGTCAGCAGCGTAATGGGTGATTGATCGATCGACCTTAACTGTTTAACGGTTAGTACCGATCCGCTTGAGACTTAAGTCCCGTCGCGGCAAAGGAGGTGATAATGACGGGAGTGTGCTGAGGTGCACGTCGAGGCCACTCTTGTAGCTACCGGCTTGGTTAGCTGTGAATTGTGATTGAATCATTATGCCCGGGATGTTCACATTGCGACATTTTGATTGCAGTTGACAACTACCTAGCGCAGTGATACCATAAATTGATGGTCTGGTGTTCGTGAACATGGCCTGCGTGTTCGTCGCTGGCATTATCTCGTCCGCTGGCAGGTGAAGAGCAGCGACAACGGTCCGGTAGTCTCCTGTCTGCTGGAGACCAACCAGTCGCAGGCCATCACCTTTAAGTTCGACCTGCGCGAGGCAGACGTCTCGGCCATCTCTTACAAAATGGTCAGACACGCGGAAATGAGCCGCCGTGTTTTGTGACCTAGACATCGTTTGGAGAGTAAATGTTTGTTTGCATGCTGACTGGGTGATAAACTCGATTTTCTGCTAAAGAAATGTTTTACTCTGGGTCAACCTTTTCACCTTTGCTTAGTCTAGGTTGGCATTTGGTTGTTCTGGCCACTGTTGTGTGAAAGGTGATCAGCGGCGATGTATTTACTCTGTGCTTTCTGTGAGTGACTGTACCAGCTGTGGTACTGGTCACTAACTGACTCCGACAGCCGCGCCGGTCGGCGGGCTGCGGCGCCGTGTTTTGACGCGTCCGCGCGCCCCCTCAGACGGAGGCACATCTGCTGCCCAGGGACGACGCCCAGTACTTCGGCGAGCAGCTGCGCGCCATCATCCGCCAGCACCTGCTGCTCGAGTCGACGGGCAGCCTGGGCGCGCCGGCCGCCGCCGGCTCCCTCCACCGGCGCCAGCCCTCCTTCGACGACGAGCAGGTCGGTGCGCCGCCCCGAGCCCCACTGCACCCGGCCGCCGGGCCGCGCCGCCCCCGTCCCTCGCGTGACCTCGTGTGTCCGTGTCCGGCAGAGAGAGGAGCCGCCTGCGCGCCCGGCGGGTGGCGCCCGGCCGGCGCCCGCCGAGCCGCCCTGGCAGCCGCCGCCGGCCGCCGCGCCCGCTCCGGCCGCGCCGCCGGCGGCGGCGGCGGCGGCTGCGGTGCCGTACCTGTCGGTGCCGGGCGGCTCGTACCCGGTGCTGCTGCAGGGCGAGCACGGCCTGCAGATCGTCTCGCTGACGCCGCAGCAGCTGACGGCACTGCTGCAGCACTCGGCCGCCGCGGCTGCCGCCTACCCGGCCGAGACGGCCCAGGTGGGGGACCCGCACCGGCCGCACCCGCTCCCGCAGTCCCACCCGGTCCACCCGGCGTCCTTCTCGGCCCACCCGGCGGCGCCGGCCGCCGAGCCGCTGCACCCGGCCGGCAGCGCGGCGCACCCCTCGTACGCCGCCCAGTTGTCGGCGCCAGCGCACCTGGCCGGCCACTCGCACCCCGCTCCGACCTCCTCCGCCGGCCCGTTCCACCCGCCGGCCGCCACCTCTGCCGCGCCCCAGCCGGCGGCGCCGGCCCTGGCGGCCTCCCTGCCCTCTGTCCACCAGCTGGCCGTGTCCGGCTCTGCCCCGGCCTCTGGCCCGGCATCCGTTTCCGGCATAGCACATATCCCGGCTCCCGCGGGCGCCTCTGCACCCATGGGCGTCCCGGCGCCGGGCGCGCCGCTGTCGGGCCCTCCGCAGATGCCGGCGCCGGTGTCGGTGGCTCTGGGCTCGGCGGCCGCTCAGCTGGCGGCTCCCGGCCTCTCGCTGGAGGCGTTCCCGCCGCTGCCGCCGCTGGCCACGGCCACCGTGCGGCCGCCGCCGCTGGCAGCGCCGACTCTGCCGCCCGGCCACCTGCCGCAGCCGGCAGCGGCGCCCGGCCTTCCGGCGCAGCCGGGCCACTACCCTGAGCCGTCTGCCTGGCCGGCTCACCACCCGCCGCCCGTCTCCCAGCCGCTGGTGTCACAGCCTGCAGCGTCCCTCCCTCCGACGTTCCAGCCGGCAGTGTCCGCGGCTGCCGTGTCACACGCGCCGGTACCCCAGACCCCGGCGTCCCAGCCTCCGACCTCTCACCCGTCCGTGTCCCAGGCTCCGGCCTCCAGACCGGTGGTGTCCAAACCGCCCGTGTCCCAGACGCATAAACCCAGACCGCCGGCTTCCAAAGCCTCAGGTTCCGGACACCCAGTGTCCCAAGCTGCGGGTGCCAGGCCGGCAGTATCCCAGGCCCCGGCGTCCCAGCCGCAGGCTCCGCCGCCCGGCTCGTCCCACCAGCCGGCGGTGTCCCAGCAGGTTCCCATGTCCCAGCCGGCGGTGTCCGTCAGTCAGCCGGCGGTGTCCTACCAACCGGCCGCTGCGTCCCACCCGGCTCCCAGCGCCCACCAGCCGCCCACCTCCTACTACACGGTGGCCTCGCAGCAGCCGACGGTCCTCTACCAGCCGGCCACCGCCCAGCCGGCGGCCGCGCTGCACCCGACACCGTCGCAGCCGCCGGCCGCGCTGCACCACACCGTGTCCAATCCGGCATTATCTCTGTACCAGGCCGTGCCACAACCGCCGGCCTCTCTCCAGCAAACCATGTCCCAGCCGGCAGTGTCTCTGTACCAGGGCGTGCCCCACCCGCCGGTATCCATCCAACAGATTCTATCCCAGCCGACAGTATCTCTTGTCCAGACCGGGCTCCAGCCGCCAGCGTCTCTCCACCAGTCTTTGTCCCAGCCAGCAGTGTCTATTCTGCAGACCGTATCCCAGCCAGCCCCGCACTACCAGACCCCGTCCCAGCCGCTCCCCGTCCAGCCGCCACCAGTGTCGGGTCCTGCCAGCGTCCCCCCGCCGGTGTCCGCGGTCCTGCCGGCCGCCTTGCAGCCGCCGGCGTCGACTCTGTCCAGCGCCGTCCAGCAGCCGCCGCAGCCGCAGCAGCCAGCGTCCGTCTACAGCGCCGCCGCCGCGAGTGTTGTGACGCCGGCGGCCGCCCCCGCCCCCGCCGCGGCCGAGGTATGTGAGCCGCCGCCGCCGCCGCCCTCCCGCCGCTTGTCGCCGGACCGCCTGCAGCGCACGAGCCGGCCGGCCGCCTGTCGTGTTTGGTGTCTGGCCTCCCCGCACGTCTCCGAGGCTTCCTGCCGGCCACCGCCGCCGCCGCCGCCGCGCAATCGAGCACCGCTCAGCCCCGGACGAGGCCTCTATCTATCTATTTCACTATCTGCCCTTGGGTACTGGCGAGGCGGCGCGCCTCCGCGCCGCCCTCTATACAGTCGGTGCGTTCTGGCTCTCTAAGTTTCTCTGGTTTTGGTGGCTTCTGTTGATTGCCAAACGTGTGGTCACGACCTTGGCTGCTCTGTGCGAACGGACTTGGAGCTTGAACTTTCTCTCAAGGGAGACACCATTCTGTGTGGAACCAAAAGTGCGGAGACATGGGAAAACTTGAAAGACATTTGTATCAAGACAAAGTGTGACATTTGTTCATCGCTCGCTATTGTGGGTCATCCTGTTACGAGCGTGATTGGGATCGGGGTCAAAATGGTCTCAAATTGGCTGGTGTGCGGCCGCGCGGCGGGCGCCGGAGCTCGGCGAGCTGTCCTCTGGGAAACGGCCGCGCGGACCGACTGTGGCCGGCGTCGGTGACCGGCCGTGACCTCGGCTTCCGTTGAAACCTGTCTGCTGTCGAATAGCTAGTTAGATGCTCTAGCTAGAGTCTAGCTAGCTGGGATGATTTTTATTGCGTTGTTTGGATGATTACTGCTTGTACAGAGTTGGTTGTTTTAGTTGCTGCCATTTTCAGGTTGTCCTTGGTTTTTCAGGGTACCTACATGACATTCCATCCTGCTTGGGCTGGGCTGCTTTCGTTTCTTCTGGCGCTGGTCGTTTCCGGTGCATTCTCTCGGTGCTGGCACACCCGCTGACACGACCCGCTGACGTCAGTTGCCTGTAGCCGCAGACAGACAGACACATACGTGCCGTGCAGCGTGACCGGTCGCGGGATTCAGAGCAGCATCCCCGGCCTGTGCTGTGTTTGCTGCTGTGTTACTTGACAAACAGGAGAACGAGTCAGGATCAGACATTAAACTGGTGTTCGGTGTGTTGCTGATTGTTATGGTACAGTTGCTCACTTTGGTTGATACGCTAACCATTAATCCATGCCACCTTCCGCACTTCCGCTTCCGCTTCTGACGACTTACCGCTGATAGATACAATACCTAGGAAAATTTGTCTGGCTTTATTTGCCTTTTTTCATGGTAGTGATGACATTATTTTCTTTTCCCTGCTGGAAATACGTCATCATTTAGAAGCTTCGTTTACAAATGTACTAAAATGCTATGTGATTATTTCAAATATGTGCCTTGAAATTTGCTGCGAAATTTGCAGGCTAATTGATTCAATGAAATTGGTGGATCATTCCCCAAACTAATTTGTCGCTTGTTTGTAAAGTAAAGAAATTCCCTGAGATATTGAATGTGCATTGTCTCATCCAGCCCTATGTGGCCCACCTGCACTTTGTACATTAACCCGCGCCCTGCTGGGGGTCCTGGATTTCCACGCCCTGCTGGGGGGGGGGGGGGTGTTTGAACACCCCCCCCCCTTCTAACTCGGCTCCTGGGCCACGTAGCGATACGCGGAAGGCGGCGTTCGAAAGAGCGCCAAAAATAATGAGGAAATCACTTCGGTCAATTTTTTGGTCAGGTCAAAGGTGAGGTCACCAGATTGAAGGCAAAATTTCGCCGATTTCCAGGTCGAATGTCGACAATTTCCAAGAAGCCAACGCATAACTCGGGAACCAATAGAGCTACAGCGCCGCGGAAAAGCGCATTCGATAGCCCTATTAACGCCCTTTCTGAGTAATGTTCTCAGATTTGACCTAACTTCAACGGTTTTGCCTGCAGGGGGCAAAAACTGCAAAAATAGCCGATTTTTTTCGGAAACAGTTTTTCTGCAATAACTTTTCACCCAAGCCTTGTACGAGCTTACTTTTACCGGCATCGTGTTCCTCTCGTCAAGACGCATCGAATGAACTATAACTTGACCTTGAAAGGTCAACTTGAAAATTTGACCTCAGGTCAAGGTCATGACCTGACCAGAAAGGGTCATGCTGCATATCAGGCCCAGATCCATCCGTCATGGCGTCCCCAGTCCCGCCCTGCTTCTGCTTCCGCCACGTCCCGTGTCCGCTGTTCCGCTTTTGGCGCCTTCCGCACTCTCCGCCCCTGCCGCCGCAGCTCGCTGTACCGTGCTCCCCGCCGCGGCGCCGCGCGGCCTCTGACCCGGCGTGGTGTCCGCGACAGGCGCCCAAGAGGCTGTCCCGGTTCGTGGTCAGCTCTGTGGCGCAGACGGCGGCGCCTACCAGCCCCGTGTCCACGCCGCACTCGCCCAGCGCCGAGACTCAGGTGAGACACGCAGATTCACCGAGTTCGAGCGATCCGTTCCGGCCAGCTGCGCTAGGCGACCACATGACAGCCCGCACAGCCGTGTGACCGCACAATTTATATACATAAGTCCTGCATCTCACCTTTTCTTCCCCTTCCCGTCCCCCAACCCACCGATATCTGTTTTCTTTCCAAAGTTCCGGCTCATCTCAACCAATATGCATATCTTGTCAGCATGCAACAAATGTACAAAACTGGAGTGTGTGTGGACCTGTTTCTCTGTAGCCCTGCTCCGACCCGTCTCTGGTCTGTCCCTCAGCCGTCTGCGTCTGCGGTGTTCACGGCGGCCGGCCTGTCGGAGGCTGCCGTCAGCGCCGCGCCGCCCGCCGCGCCGGCGCCCGTGGTGGCCGGCCGGTTCTCCATCACGGTGGCGTCGTCGGGCGCGCCGGCCGCGGCCGTCACACAGACGGTGGGCGTGACGCGGGCGCCCATCAGCCACCCGGCGCCGGCGGCCGAGGCGCAGACCGTCCCCGCGGCCGCGCCGGTCCCGACGGCAGCGGCCGGGGCGCAGACTGCCGCGGTCCCGACGGCCGCGGCCGCGGCGCCCACCCCCAGCGCCGCGCTCGACGAGCTGACGGTGGCCGGCGCGTCCCCGGAGCTGTCCTTCTCGCCGCAGAACACTGAGCATAGGTAGGCCGGATGGGCGGCAGGGACAGCTGTAAACCGGTGGGATAGGACGCGAGTGGGACGGAGGAGGACACAGATGAGGGATAGAGGAAGGGATGGACACTGGTGGGAGGGACTGGTGGCGGCTGTATTTTGTTTCCCGTCTGTCCGACCGGCCTCTGACCCGCTGCCCCGCCCCGCCCCGCCAGTGGTGTGGGGAACCTGGAGGAGCTCCGGAAGCAGCTGGTGCGCCTGACGGCCGCCTCGGAGGGCTCGTTCGAGGCCGCCTCGCAGCCGTCGACGCCCGTGTTCTCTGCCGTGCCGGCGGCCGATGTGGCCGCCGAGGTGAACCGCCGGCTGGCCAGCATCACGGCCGCGCAGACGGTGAGTCGGCCGCGCCACGTCCGGCGCACTCTCGGAGGTCGGCGCGGTGCTAACAACACTCATCCACTAACATGTATTCATTCCTTTATTCACTCTGGCATATAGATGCTTGCTTACACGCACATACAGTAACCTTTTACCACCAATTAGTCGTCAAAATGAATCGAACAAGATATTAATCCACCCATTCATTCATTTATCATTTGTTCGTTCGTTCGTTCGTTCGTTCGTTCGTTCGTTCGTTCGCTCGTTCGTTCGTTCGCTCTTTCGTTCGTTCATTTTTATCGGTACTTGCCATACATCTCGCGCGTACATCATGCATTCACGAGACACAACTTAACCTCTGATCCAGCCATTGCACAATTCTGCAACAATCATGCAACTAATCTTACGTGTGAACTGTGAAGTACCTAACGCTTGTCATGCTGCGCCGTCCTGTCCCTTACCAACGTGTACTTGATTTGATTAGCCTGATTGACCGTGGTGCTTTTACTACCGATAACTTTGAGCGTGCACGCTGTTACATCTTTTGCTCAGAGACTGAATAAGTGAATAAAAACATTTAACTTCATTCAACAAAATCGTATGTTTTATGATGAAATACAGCAGCTGACTACTCATCCGTTTCCCGAACCGATCGTTCTTTGGAAAAAAACATTAATATTTCGGCCGTAAGCAAGCCGGTTCTCTGCAAAGTATAGCTGAAGTAAACTGAAGTCACAATTACAACCTTGCACCTCAAATAACGCCACTGAGTTGGCGCAGATTTTGAAAAAAGTTAGGTGCGGCTTTTTGAAAAAAGCGAGGGTACCGTTTCGATTGTCATAGTAACTGAGTTTTACTGTTCCCGTAAGAAAGTATACGAGTTATACCTATAAAGTTACAAGTTATACGAAAGTTATAAGTTATAAAGTTATACGAGCTCCCTACCACACAACTTCGTCACCGAAGTCGAAATGTGTATAAATGAAATAAGATAGGGTAATCACTCAATATTTTCAATTTATGTACACAGATGAGCTGCACGAGGAATCGAATGTAAAAAAAAATGTCCAAGATGTTTTAGGAAAATTCGTTCTTTTGGCCTCTGGGCTGTTCTGATATTTGTGCGATATTAGCCTGGTTCTCTGTCCCTCCCTCCCCGTCGAGCAGTCTCGTTGTGTGGGTTGAGTGCTCGGCCGTGGTTAGTACCGTGTGCATGTGTGTGCTGGTGACGGTCGGGCGGGCCGTGAGACGCGTGAGGAGTGGTGTGACGGTGTCGGCCGCCGGCTCAGGACTCGCTGGCTCCCTCCGGCTCCGGCTCCGGCTCCGGCGGCTCCCGCGGCGGCTCCCTGCGCCCGTGGAGCTGGCACTGCGACGACCCCGCCGCCGCCGCCGCCGCTGCCGCCGGCGGGGGCGGGGTAGGGGGCGTGGCCCCGTCCCCGCCGGCGGTGCTGCTGTTCGCGCCGCCCGCACCGGTCCCCCTCGCTGTGAGTGACCTGGGCCGGCGAGGGTCGCCAGCGGCTCTTGTCCGCCGCCGGCCGCGACTCCAGCCGCCGCCGCCGCCGCCGCCGCTGCGTTTTGGGGACTTGTCGATCGCTTCGCTGTCGCTTTTGGTGTTAGCTTTCAGTGTGCAGCAGCCAGGGACGAGCGCGGGTGAAGGGTTCGCAGTATTTGTCGGCAGGAGGACGACGTATCACATGATTGGCTTTTACTGGAGATTTAGTTGCGCTTTTTGTTTTGCCCTGGTTTTGGTCAGTATGGAACGATAGGAACGGGAACACACAACCTTGACACATCTTCGTTCTGTTTCATCTTGTTAGCCGCTATCTTGGTTTCGGCTGACGGGGCTTGCCAAGTTCTTTGAACGGGACGGTGTTAGCACGTAGTAGTTCTGTGGTGTAGCGCCTTTGTTACCTCATTTATGACACAGACATTTACACGGTATCCACGGCATGTGTGTGTGTGCACACTCGCCTTGTTTATGTGTTGTTACGTTGGTGCACTGTTTCTTCACGTTTGAAGCCCGGGGTTGTCAGGTGTTGTGTTTTTGGTGTATTTGTAATGTCGGCGTCAGTTGAAAAAACATATTAAGGTGAACTGTACTTCAAAGCAAAACCTTACTCTTGTCATTGTTACCACTTGCCGGTAAACTGCTGAGACTGAAGTGAGAGAGCAGGATAGTGAAACTGCAAAAAGTCCTACAGCTGTCAAGTGTCAGATTCTGAGTTAACACGACTGTTCCTCGATTAGCTGACGTGTATGTATTCGGGTTGGTTTGACCGAGCCGGACTGACGCGATGTGTCCGGACGGCAGGCGGGGTCCGCAGCGAGAGCCGGCGACCCGGACCCGGCGGCCGCCAGGGCCGCCCCGGAGAGCTCCGGCGCCCAGCAGCTCATCTCCGTACAGGTGAGGCGCGCCGGCCCGTCCCCCGACCTCACAGCACGCCGGGCCGTCCCGCCGAGCTCTCAGGGACGCCGGCCCGTCCCGCCGAGCTCTCAGGGCAGACCGGTGCCACCGCCGGGCGAACCTCCAGTCCTCGGCCGTGGGACTCTGTCCGTGTGTCCGTGTGCTCGTGCCGTTAAATAACCGCAGCAGTGTCACTTCACTAACCGCATCCGACTGAGCGCGGCCCGCCGCGGCCGTCCGCTCGTGTGTGCCCCCCCCCCCCGCACCCACTGGGGTGTCGCACTGTCGCCTGACCGTCGTAGTGTCGTAGTAGCTTATTGAATGTCTCTATCGACACGCTAGGGGAACTCGACGGAACCTACCGCAAACGCCTCGCTGCTTCCGGAATGGTAGTGCGGCGCTGTTGGCCGGAAAACCTTGTTGGATTTGCCTTTTAAGTTATCAATGCCAACGAAACTGAATTTTGCTTCTTTTAGTTCCTTGTATTGTATTTTTTTTTTATTCGAAATTACATATCTATATGAATGTTTTCGAGGGCGCCACATTTTGAAGCCGCGCAAGGTTTGGTGGAAAATGGCTTAAATCCAGTTCGTTTGACATCTCCCGGTGACTATCCGCGGGAGATGTGATTCTCGAAGATAGCGAACATCCCCAACACCTATACGAATTTGTATTCGTATCTAGAATGGCTATTGATTTTCGCAGTAGCTTTCGTCGAGTTTCCCGCTGTGGGGTCTATGTGGCCGCTGTAGTGCCAAGATCACTCGTAGCCCCCCCTCCTTCCCCCTGCTGTGAGCCTCTCTCCGGCTCGACCTCCCCTCACTGCCAGTCTCTGTCGGACGCCAGTGGCCGCCCCCGCCCCCGCCCCCGCTGTGGGTCCCACCCTGCCTGCGTGTGTCCCCTCTCGGTGTGTCTCTGTGACCGGCTCTCACTCGGCGCTCTCTCCCTCCCGCCCGCCCGCGTCGCCGGGCCTCTCTCCGTGCTCTCGCTGGCCGTCTGCTCTGTCTCTCTGTCTCCTGACGATCGGACGCCGCGCGGTGTAGCCGTCGTCCGTGCTGGACGTGCCTCGCTCGCCTAGCGTGCTTGTGACGCCGCCCACTCCGCGGCGCGTGGTCGTCCAGGTGATACCTCAGTTTCTCTCTATCTGCTCGGCGGCTCGCGTAGAACCGCTTCGCTGGACATGTTGCTTGGACTGACCCCTGCACTGTAGAGTTGGCTGGTTTGCTGCTGGGAGTCCGTGTAGTGTTCGTGTATGTAGTGTCTGTCTTGGGTAATACGGGTTACTAATCCCGGGCGGTATTCGGGTGCTGCCCGAACGCTGCTCGGGCACTGCTTGGGCACTGCTCGGGAGATGCTCGGGCATTGCTCGAGAAATGCGCGGGCGATGAATGGGTTTCAAACCTACAAAGATCGGTGCTTTCTTCGATAGTAACGCTTGGGATAACATGTACATACACATTCTGCACAAATTATGAACGGCACTGAATATATGTACTGCCAAAATATTAAGCTTCTGTTACTACTGGGCGTTAATCAGATGATCTAATTTGGACGTCTAACGCTTGGTTATAAAGCCTGATTTAACCGTATCATTGCGTGTATGATCACTTGATTAGTGTACCCTTCCCATTATTTGATATTTTATTTCGTTAAATCGATATTAAATAGTACAGATCGGTTGGACTAGAGTAAATGAATATCACAGAGAGGAAATAAAAGCGCATGGATAGCACACGGCCTGATTGCCTTGCATGCGTGGTGATTTATGATTTTTTTTTTGCTCATCAAAATCCCAGCTCTGTACATAATTTATACAAGCACCATGCTGAATGTTCGTTGCCTTAAATTGTTATGTTTGATGTACATGGATGTTATCGGTCATTATATTTGTATTTTCTTGTTATTCGACTGACAGAAATTGCTCATTGAAGCTCGTTTAGGTGAAAAATGCTACAATCGCAGTAATTATCTTGATAAATGACCCTATTCGCTCAACAAAGCCACGCAACACTTTAAACCCGCGCCCCGCTGGGGGTCCTGTGGCCTGACCTTAACCCTATTCCTGGCGGGCTCCGCCGGGACAAGAAACTGGCGGGGGGGGGGGGCCGATTCGGCCCCCCCCCCTGAGATCTCGAGAACGAAGCAAGATAGCGACAAGCGGTAAACGGCATCGGATACGCATGGACAAGGTCTACAATTTTTACTAAGGTCATTTTCAGGTCAGGTCAAAGATGACGTCACAGGGGTCGAAAAAGTCAAAATGGCGGCGCTAGATATGGAGAGAGTTTTTCTCGAATAACTTTCGAATTAGTCAAGATAGGAACAAACTAAGGGCATCATCGTGATCCTCTCGTCAATCCGCATCGAATGATATATATGTTGACCTCGAAAGGTCAAGGTCAAAGGTTGACCTCAGGTCACGTGACCTCGAGGTCATCATGTATATCATTCGATGCGTCTTGACGAGCTGAACACAATGAGACCATCCACGCGTCTGTATCTTGTTCCTGTACGGAGTTATTGGCCAAAAACCTTTGGTGACCTTTGATGACGTCACATGACCTCACAGCTGCCCAACAGCAAAACAGACCTCAAGGTAGTGAAGGTTGATCGTATATGAAGTCATGTATGGTATATGGGGCCATTCCGACCCGTTTTAGTGGTAAAAACAGGGAGTTGATTTTTCCCCCATTGACTTATAATGGGGAGGTCGCGAAACTGACCTGACCTTAGGTCACCGATATCAAAATTCCGAGATATACAAATTGCACATACTGGTACCCTAACTAAAGCCTGAAGAGAAGAAATTGATCGGTCAAAAACTCTAGCTCTGGCGTGATTGCAAACTTTTCTGAGGTAGGGTCACCAAACCGCCTCTGGTGACCTGACCTGAGGTCAGATCAACTCAAAATTTTCAGACATGTTGCGTAGAAGCCTTATAGGAAAAGTCAGAAAATTTGAGCTTCCTAGCTCAACGCATTTGGGAGAAATAACCAAAAAACCTCAGGGGGGGGGGGGGCTCCTGAGGCCCCCCCGCCAGGAATAGGGTTAAGTGACTTTGGTCTGAAATTTTCACAACGTGTGCAGGAATGATGGAGGGCGCGGGTTAGACTGACGGTCTGAAGCAAATTGGTTTTGCTCGCGGTTTTCTGCAATGCCCACATTTCCTTTTTTTGCACTGATAGTTTGCTTGATTTGTAAGGGGTTAAGGGGAGTAGTAAAGTATTCATGGTTAAGGGTGTGCTGTGAAAGCGAAGGTCTGTCTCCAGCTGAGGACGGAGCTTCAGTAATCAGCGTGCTGTTGCTTGGAAGCTAGAAATTACCTTTGAAATGTGCCGCAATTCTAGTTATACCTTATATGATCAGCCTGAAAATCGAAAGATATCGTCAATATCTGACGAATCACTTGAATTATTATCTTGTTTTAGCTGTCATATTTTGCTTAACCACTGTCGCGGCCGCTTCAGTCCGACTGCCGGTTGCCAGTCGACTTTGCTGCTGGTTAGCTGGGTTCATAATGTTGTAGTGACCGGATCGCTCTTCATTCCCCGACCCCGCGATGGTACTTGTGGTGGTTTTGTGTCAGCACTGCAGCAATGCGGCGGTGTGTGCAGTGTGTGGCCGTATCTCACCCATAACATACCAGCGTCGGCACATACCGTGCAAAGTTTGCTGTCGATGCTCGGAGATTGCCCTCTGCAGTTTGTTTTTAAGTGTCACAGTATGACCGGATTGAACTCGACACAATGTCTACTGTCTCCTCAGGGGAGTAGTATCGATATAGCCTCCCCCCCCCCCCCCATACGATCGGATCTGTCTATCTGGGTTGTCTAACAGAGCGGGCCGGCAGTGTTCCGGCGGTGGCAGTCTCAGCCGGTGCAGTGGGCGCCCCTCTGTGAGCTGCCCTCCGCCGCGGCTGTGTCTGTCTGTACACACCCCTCCGTGGCCCCCTCTGACGCGGGCGGCCCGTGTTCACAGCCGCCCCGCCGCCAGTCGTCGGCTGCTACGTGCGCGGTGCGCGCCGCCGCTGCCGCCGCCGCCCGCCGCAATGTAGGCCGCCCCCGCGCCCGCTCCCGCCCCGCCGCCGGCTGCCTGTCTGTGTGTGCCGTGCTGTGCAGTGGTAGAACCCTGAGCTACCCTCCCCTGTCGCCGCCGCCGCCGCCGCCGCTCCTGCGGCCCGGAGCGGTACGTACTGCCGGCGCGCTGCCGGGCGCAGCTCGGCGCTCGCCGTCTCCGCGGCCCACTGCAGAGCGCTCCACCTCCGTCCCATCGTCTCACCCCCGGGTACGCCGCCCGCGGGGCCCGCACTGGCAGAGGGCTGGGCCGGGGAGCACGAGTGACCTCAGCCGGCAGTCAGCGGCCCGCACTGGGGCGCACTGCGGAGCCCGGGCACGGGAGGGGCTCACGGCCGTCGCACTGGGGCTGGTTGGTGGGTGGTGGGACTCACGGCCTGGTAGGAAGAGGGGCGCACGGGTGAATTCTGGGCCAGTCTGGCCCGCAGGCACACCCGTGGACTGTGTTTTCTTGCCGCACCGTTCGAAGTGCTGCAGTTTGGCATACTGCACTGCAGCTTGAAATTTTACACATTTTATTAACTAGTGCACAGACAGGCCTCTTTATATATGGAAAAGTCTGTGACTGATGCCATAGGCATATCGGCTTGTTGATGGCCTTTATGAATTTTTTTTTCTGAAATTACACGGCATTTGCATGCTAGTCGCGTTTTTGTAGGCTGCCAATTGAATAACACTTTTTTGAATCCCATCAATTAATGTTCCTGGATGATACAAATTTCTGCGATATGAATTCTATCCTATGCGTTGTTCATATTCGTGAAAGTATTGAGTCTTGATCAACAGTATTGAGGAACAGTAAAGTATTAAGATCAACATATTATATTGCATGTTTGTATTATGTATCCAACGTTATTTCGTGGATGTCTTGTGGAACACTTGGAGGACATGTTTTCTAGAAATAATTGTTATGCCTTTTGTCGGTCTATGCTATTCGTGTCTAAAGCTGAACATTGAACAAATTACGATTCCTTAGCAAGCGTGGATGTAGTTACATACCTAGTTATTTAAACACTCGAATCAAATTGAATATGAACATCCTGAACAAGGAATTATCAAGGCCAAATTGGAGTGGTCTCCCCAAGTTTACTACGCCTATTGGATTGTTCCCGTCCCCAGCGCCATTCCTTCTACGACAATGCGAAATCCGCAATGTTCGGGTCCAGCTTTTCCTCTGTTTGGTGCATGCTGCGCTGAGCAAGGTGCCCAGGCCGTGCTTTCTCTTTACTGACCCCACGTAGATTGAGCACGGATTCACTAGTTTATCGTCATTTTCACAGGCGTTTAGCGGCGTTATCGGCTTCTGCATCATTCCATGCCATATTAACCCTCGTAACTTGTATTTCGTCGGTAGACTCCTGTCGCATTTTCGGGACGTAGTTAGTGCTCTGTTATTTTTTATGACGAAAGATGTTTATCGGACCTTTTTGCCTCAGCCTTTGTACAAATGCCGTTATCGCATCGAATATAATTGAGTGTGCCTGTGGTGGTCTCCTGCCTGACCGTTGATGGTCCGTGTCACCTGCGCTGTCCTCAGCCCCGTCTCTCTGTCGATCTGCGTGTCTGTGTGTGTGTGGCTGACCGTGCGGCGCGCGCTGCTCCCCGGCCGCCCTCCGCAGAGCACCTCGGACGTCTCGCGCTCTGCGAGCAGCTCCGAGACCACGGAGCGGGGCAGGAAGGCCACGCCGCTGCTGCTGGCAGACCTGGACAAGGAGCTGCAGAAGCTGCACAGCGGCAAAAACCAGCTGGTGAGTGAGCCCGCCCCGTCTCCGGCGACAGATTGCTGCTACCTATCACGGGCTACGTACTGCTCCAGTTCCCTGGTTATGTGTGGCCTATCTTATTGTTGTTGTTGTTGTTGTTGTTGTTGCTGTTGTTGTTTTGATGGTGCGTTGCAAAGAGGCCAATGAATGTTGAGTTTGTGTTTAGCAGTAAATTTCAGGCATAAAAGGCATTCCTCAATTCCTACCCAGTGACAATGCTGTAAAAATGTCAGTGATGCACCTACTATTTTCCCCTTTTCCATATACACTGGCTGACTGATTACAGTGATTTTGAAAATCGTCGTCCCGTTAGTGAGCGTTGTTTTATCGTTTGTCGTTGTTTTCACGCCGCTCTCGAGCAGCCAGCGGATGAAAATTTGGTAAGTTGCTTCGATTACAGTGTCTCAGTGAGCAAATCAATTGTTATAACTTCGAATAGTTGCCTGCCATGCGCACATAGCCACTCGTCATACTCATCATATCGTATTTTCATCAACACCCGACACATCCTCCTGTCTCCGTGGGTACTTGCGATAAAACTTGCCGTCTCATTTTCTGCGCGCTGACGATATATTCAAAATGCAGAAGCTACATAACGTGTCATGTACTATAACGTGTAGTCATGCATTCACCACCCGGCACCCACGCAACCTCCGATGTTGAGACGAACTGGTCGTGCGCACGCTCCCTCGCTGCAGTCGAGGCCCGCCGAATCAGCCCCACGTGATATTCTGACGCCCCCCCCCCCCGGCCGACAGCACCACGTGGCGTCGACGCCGATGCTGTCGACGCACGACGAGGCGACGCAGTCTGAGAACGGCGTCATCTCGCAGTGGGAGACGGTGGGCCCAATCGACACGACGCACACGCAGCCCATCCAGAGCGTCTGCTTCCACACCGGCAGCGGCGCCAGCAGTGAGTCACCGACAGCTGCTGCTCCAGATCAATTGGATACAGTGATATTTTTATAGTGTTTGGTCATCGGCGTTGAACATTGGATAGTATGCGCATTGCGTGAACTTTATGTGGCAAACAATTTCTTCTAAAACTGCGTTTTGAGCTGGATGCCCGATATCTTCATTTTTGTGGATATCTTTAATCATGCTCATGGCGCGTTGGGGATAAAATGGACGCTGACCCCTGACACCCGTCCCTCCCCCCGTCAGCACCGTCCACGGACCCGGGCACGCCGGTGCGGAAGGGCCGGTTCGCCATCACCGTCAGCCGCCAGGCGGCGCCGTCGCCCCCGCCGCCGGCCGCGGCCGCCGCCGCGCCGCCCTCTCCGGCCGCCGAGCCGCTCGACGTCGAGACGTCGGCCATCTTCATCGAGCTGCTGGCCAAGTGAGTGGCGCCGGGAGGGAGCGGGTGGTAATCGGAGGGAAGACTGGACAGGGGTGGTCGGTGGTTGGCTGAGCTGAGGTGGTGAGCTGTAACTGTTTGTGCCTCAGCCGGTGCGAGACTGTCCGTGTCTGTTATGCGACTGACCCGTGCCTCCACTGCCAGTGTTTGTTATGTAACCGCCGGAGCGACGATGTGACCCCATCCGTCGCTAGGCAGCGGCAGGCTGCTGTCCGTGTCTGTTGTGCGACTGCCGGAGCCAGTGATGTCTGACGACTGTCCCTATCCACCGCCAGGCAGCGGCTGGACATGGAGGAGCTGCAGCGGCAGCAGGTGGCCGAGCGCGAGCGGCTGCGGCACGAGCTGCTGGAGCGGCTGCGGCACGAGCAGGCGGCCGCCGCGCACCAGCCGCCGCCGCCGCCCGACGGCTGAGTCGCCGCCGGACGCGCACTGCACACTAGTTCTGTTTGTTTTCTATCTCAGGGTATTGTGGAACTTGTTAGTGTGGGCTGCGCCGGGCTCGGCCGTCGTCCGCCGCGCCTTGTTACAGGTAGATAGTTTCCAACCACTTAACTATCGTGCTTTCATTGTTTTCGCGCTCGGCCTGGTCGGGCGCCGGGACGGCTCGCTCTCGACTCGCTGGCGGGCCCATTTTACCGGGGAGACGCGCGGCGGCTCGGCGCACGCACGCGCAGTATATCATTGTTGGCTGGGCGGCCCGAGGCTGAGCGGCTGGCGGAGGACGTTTTATACACACACACACACGCACCCGCCCGCCCGCGGTGGGAGGGTGGCCGGCTGCGGGCCGATTTGTACGGCGGGCCGGCGCCGCTGTGATGACCGGCCGGCGGAGGCAATTTCAGACCAGCCGCCGCCGGCCCGACCGCGGCACTTGGTGCGACTTGTGCGTGTGTGAGAGAGAGAGATCAACTAATTGCGTATATGATTTCTTCGAGCTGTGTATCCAATTGCCATATATGGAGACGATATGAACGAATACAATATCCTAGGTATGGAGCGTCCCCTGAATGTCTGAGACGAATCGGATCACTCGGGAAATCAAAGTGGCAGACTCGCGGCTCTCTTCATCAAGGCAGTGTTTGAGCTCACCACACACATCAGTCGACACTCGACACCTGTAAACCTCCGTATCAATAACAAGGCGACGCGCATTAAAGCTCATAAATAGAAGTTAACACATCACAGTTCACCTTGTAATCACCGGTCGAGTGGTCAAGTGGAATAACCCGCTGCTGGTTCCACAGTTCGATACCGGCTCCAGCGACAGCGACCACCGGCGTGTCACCACTGACGTTACCGGCGCACCGCCATTGACGTCACGGCGGCCACGGCCGCCACCACGGCCGTCCAGGCGGCCTCGTACAGCAGTTTGGGCGAGAACACGGTCCACACGAATATGTGGTGGAGGAAGGCGGCCGAGAGACAGCAGTAGACGAGCAGCACCAGGCCGCGGACAGTGACCAGCGCGTGCAGCACCGCCCGGAAACACCTGCAACGGCGGGGAGCGGATGGTCAGAGGGCGGCGTACGGTAGAAGATTACAGCGGCGCTCACTGCTCATTCAACGAGCTCATTTCTATCTTCCCCGTCTCAACGAGAAAACACGCAGTCACGGCGGAGGCCGGCCAGGTGCCGGTCGAGGTGCGCCGCCACGCTCTCGCGGCGCGCTTCCTGGCCAAGGCGAGGTCACTCCCCGACTCCGATCCGCTCCGAGCCGTCGCCGGCGCGGTCGTTGCCCGGCGTCTCTCGTCGGTCACCGGCTGGCGCGACGTCGGCCAGGCCGTGTGGGCGGCCGCCGGAGTCACGGCTCCGATCGAGCCGGCGCTGACGCGCCGCCCCCCACCCTGGGCCGAGACAGGTGATATCACCTTCTGTCTAGATATCGGCCCCGGCCTTCCGGTGGGTGCGGGCGCGGAGCTGAAGAAGTCAACGGCGGAGACATTCCTGGCGGGTCTGCCCCAGTGCGCCACCTGGGCCTGGACAGACGGCTCCGTCGTGGGTGGCACCAGCAGCGGAGGCGCTGGTGCCCTGATCGTGTATCCCGACGACGAGACGGTGGAGCTACGGAAAGCAGCTGGCAGCCTATGTTCCAGCTTCCGGGCTGAGCTGGTGGCGCTCAGAGAAGCTCTAAGGCACCTACACGAACATCCAGCACACACCGGCGACCCTATCGTGCTCTGTACCGATTCTCAGGCGGCACTCGCGAAGCTCCGCGGGGGTCCATCAGAGCAGGAGTCGCCGATGGGAGCCGAGATCTGGAAGCTGCTGACAGATCTTGCCTCCGGGGGGAGACCGCTCCGCCTGCAGTGGGTCCCGTCGCACTGCGGCATTCCCGGCAATGAGCGCGCTGACGCCCTGGCCGGAGAGGCGTCGGCACTCCCCCAGGAGGAGGCACCAGTCGATGTGCGGACCGTCCACCGTGCGGCGGCGAGGGCGGCCAGCTCGCGGGCCCTAGCTCAGTGGCCTGTGGGCTGGTACCGCTCGCTGATGGCCGGCCACCTCCCGCCGCCGGTGCGAGACTACCCGAGAGAGGTCGCCATCGACATCCACCAGGTGCGAGCGGGTCACTGGTCCGGTTCGGCGGCATATCTGCACCGCATCGGCCGTAGCCCGTCGCCCCAGTGCGAGCAGTGCATGGATCCGCGCTGCCGGGCGAGCTGGTGCCTGGCGTGCGGCGAGGCGCCGGATACGTCTGAGCACCTGCTGCTCCACTGCCCTGCTTTGATGGTGCGGCGTTTCCGGCTCCTGGGTACGCTGCACCCCGCTATCGAGGATACCAGACGGGACGACGTGGTGGCGGCCCTGGTGGGGGCCGCCAGATCCCTCCAGAGCCCAAGAGCTACGGTCCGCCCGGCGGGCCGGGGGGACTGACGACGACGACGACGAGCTCATTTCTATCAAAAGTGTAAGTCAAATTCCTACTTTTGAAAGAGAAATGTCAAATAAGAATGAAAACTGCTACGTTCGACCAGTTCTATCGTACAAAAGGAAGTGCAATTCAGTTAGTCACTTGGAGATGGCATCAATACACCCTGAAGGATTTACCGATACCTATGTTGCAACGGCGCAGTGTCGCCTATGACCCACCCTCCTGTGCGTATCTCCAGGTAACTGGAGGGCGGTGAGCAGACCCAGCACGGTGTCCCCCTCCCGACCTGTCCAGTGTTACTGACCTGTGCTTCTCTCCGTACTGGAGAGCAGTCAGCAGACCCAGCACGGGCCCGGCGTACGTGTGGCTGGCTGTGAGCAGTACGGCCACCGCGCTGTTGTGACCGGTCAGCCCCACGTACCCGGCCGAGATGTCCACACTCGACAGACTGTTGGAGTTGCCCTGGGGAAGGCAGGTCGCGTCAGATTAACGGGACGAGGTCAGAGATGGAGAGTTGACAAGCAAAGGGGCAAGAACATCGAAGGTCCATTGGAGGAGAAAAAAAAAATGTTAGCAAGAGTTCCTAGCGAGCTTCGCGATACGCGGACATTCCGTGCTCTCATACAGACGATGAAACCCATCCACGAGTAACCGAGAGGCAAGAGCGGCTGCGAAGCCACGCCCGCCCACCGGCCCCATACCGCCCGCGCCGGCGGCTTACCATGTAGAAGAAGGCGGCCATGCCGGTCCAGTGGGCGGTCAGCGCGGCCGTCAGTGGCGCCGGCGCCGGCAGCGTGTCCAGCCAGGCGAGCAGCGCGCCGCTCTGCAGCGCGCAGCCGGCCCAAGCGGCCAGGTTGTGCGGCCGCACCAGCAGAGCGCCGAGCAGCAGCCAGGAGCGGCGCAGGCGGGCCACCCGACCGCCGGCGGACGGCCACAGCGCGCCGGACAACACCAGCAGGTAGACGGCCTGGGCGGACCACAGACCGGCCGCGGCCGGCAGCCGGGCCACGCCCAGCAGCCGCTCGTCGGCGAGCCCGCGGAGCAGGAGACACAGCGCGCCGGCCGCCGCCCAGCCGGCCCCGTCCCCGCCGCCACTGACGGACAGCAGGACGGCGAGCGGCAGCAGGCCGGCCGCCCAGACCGCAGCCAGCCACGGCCGGTGACCCTCGGCCGTCAGCCAGTCGCCGATGTCCGGCAGGTGCAGCCACTTGTCGCCCGTCTGGTTCCAGCGTCTGAGCAGGCCGCAGGAGAGCAGCTGGGCGGCGCAGAGCCAGCCGCGGCGGCCGGCGGAGCGGGGAGCGCCCGGCCGCCGGCGCAGCTCGGACCACAGCAGCAGCAGCCACAGCGTGGTGGTGAAGAAGTACCAGGTCTGGTGCTCCTCCTCGATGAAGCTGGTGGCGCCCAGACTGAGCAGGTGGAGGCCGCAGCCGCCGCACAGCAGCCAGTCCAGCGGCGACAGGTGCTGCAACATCAGAGCAGACACAGTCAGTCCGAGAAACGTGAGAACACAATGATTAATTATTTGGCCCTCGTTACAACACCCCAAATCAGGTAAAATAATGGGTCCGACAGAAAAATATCCATCGTAAGTATATACTTTTCTTCTAATGGTGCAAGCGACTTTCTTATGCATGAGCCAGACCTCAGTTTAAAAAGGCTAAAAAGGTTTGATCTGAGCCTCGGTGTCTTTTGATCCGCGGAAATCAACAGTTCAGCCGATAAGTACAGGTAGACGTGCCATGTATGAGTGTTGTATTCCCTTCTAATTGATGTGGTAGCTCACCGGCCATATGTCGCGCAGGCGGTGACGGCGGCTGAGGCGGCCGGCGGCCGAGCAGAGGTGCGCCACCCCCAGGGAGCCGGCGCCGACCAGCAGCAGAGCCGGCGCCGCGCCGTCGGCCGCGCACAGCCGTCCGCCCGGCAGCAGGCCGCACAGCAGCAGCAGCGCCGCCGCACAGCCCAGCACGGCGGCGGACAGGGCGGCCGCCGACACCGGGCCGGGGGCCGCACAGGAGGCCACCAGAGTCTGCCGAGTCGGCGGGGACCGGTCAGCCGACAGCAAACAACTCAACATCCACCCGCGACACAGACCGGTACCTGGACCCATCAAACACCCATCCCGTCTCAGCGCTGGCCGTCCTGACTCACCAGGACCAGCAGCAGGGCGCCCAGCACCATGGCGGCCGGGTCGTGCTGGGCGGTGCCCGCCAGTAGTTTGGCCTGCAGCCGCTGCACGGCGCCACTGGCGGCCGCCGCCGCCCGCTCGGCGGCCTCCTCAGGATCCTGCCCGGGCTCTGAGGACAGCAGCTGCTCCGCTCTGGACAGTATCTCCGCTTCAACGTCTGCCAAAAGAAGTAGACATGTAAACAGATATACGAGACCGAGGAAGTCATCCGGTAGCTTGGAATAAATATTGGAGCATGACGTACTCCAAGTACATCAAATGGACTTGTCCCTCCGTGCCAGCCCACCAGTGGAGGTCAGCTCTTAGGCAGTCACCTGCGCTGGCGGCGGCGTGCGGCAGGTTCCCGCTGAGTCGCAGCAGCTGCCGGCCCGTGTTGATGAGCGCGGCGGCCAGCCGGCGCCGGCCCAGCGGGAGGACGGCGTCCTCCAGCACGCGGCCCACGGACTCGGCCGGCACGGGGACCCCGAGCAGCGCGGCCAGCGTCGGCGCCAGGTCCAGCTGGCGCACCCGGCGGCCCGGCTCCGCCTGCGAGGGAGGCACGGCCGGACGAACGGGCCGGGGGTCAGATGGGTGAATCTCGCCACGTCATATCACGCCACGACAGGTGGGTACAAATCATCACCTCGCGCCCCGGTAACGATCAGCTCAGATAATTGAATTGTTCAAGCTTTCCTTACTGATGGTTAAATCGATCACATTCTTTAACAGGAATTCAGAGAAAAGTTGCAGGATGTATCACGCCGATCCAGACGTTCGTCCTCTAACCCACCTGTCGCTGGCCCGCGTACAGCGGACTGACGAAGTGCAGCGCCACTTGGGTCTCCGGGGCCGACGAGCCTCCGTGGCTGCCGGCCTCACTCATGCCGTGGTCACCGCACACCACCAGCACGGGAGGCGGGCCGCGCTGAGGCAGGGGCGGGGTCCGAGGTCAGCAGGAGGGGTACACCAGCTGTACCGGGGGCGGGCGGGCCGCTCTGGGGGAGGGGCGGGGTTAGAGGTCAGCGGGAGGGGTACAGCAGCAGCGGTACCGGGGACGGGTCGATCTGGGGGACGAGGGACGCTGACAGGGCTGGAAAAACCGACAACCCAGTTCCTCGCATCGATATTAACATACGTGATTGTGCAGTTACCACACCACACAGTCACCAATCACCACCAATCAGTCACCACACAGCAGCCCATCATCTCTAGAATCGTCCCTCACCTTGGCGAACCTGCCGATCCCCCGGTACAGCGTCTCCATGACGTCACTCATCTCGGAGAGCTTCTGGCCAATCAGCGGGCTGTTGGGTCCGGCCAGGTGGCCGATGTGGTCCAGTCCCAGGTAGTGGAGGATCAGCACGTCCCAGTCGTCACGCGCCAGCTCGGCGGACAGGTGACGAGTCACGTTATTATCCACCTGAGACGGGCAGTGGAGTGGCGGGGGATGAGACCGGGGCTCTGGCGAGGGCGACAGTGGCCATAGATGAGATGGGACTGTTGATACTTGGTTGAAGACAAATCAACAACGTTCTAAACAGATTAAGTGTTCTCCATGAACATTGGTCTAACACTGAACGTTGCTCTCGCGTATCGGATGAATGATCTTTGAAAAATAAAATTCTCCAGCGAATTTTTTACTATTCCCCGACGAGTTTTCACGGTACCAGAGACAGATCGGTCGCGACTTGTGGCACAGAAGGAATGGGCGATAGAGGAGCCGGGGCGACAAAAGAACTCAGAATTATCCGGAAACGCATCCGATCTGCCATGAGCAGTTTGAGCACTGATCTGCAATAAGTGCGGAAAATAACTCGTCGAAATGACGTAACTAATGGCCATCGGAAATATTCGGCAACGTTACGAAAAGACCACTGGACGGCCTGGGAATTTCGCTCTCATTGCTCTTATTATAATAAGATTATAATCATTATACATAATTATGTATCAAACAACGGTCAACCGATCACAGAGCTCATAACACTCCAACACTACCTCTGTGTAGTCATTGACGAAGAACGAATGGGTGCCTTCCTGTCGCACGAACGACTCTGGAAACAAGCGGAGCCATGTGTCGTCACCATAGAAGACTAGTCGGCGTCCAGCGGCGTGCAGGCTCTGCACCAGGCTGTCCTGGGACAGTGCGCCACTGTCGTAGTTCCGAAGGACGTCCAGGAACTCGGGCACTGTTCCCGTGGTCAGCGCCTAGCGAAGGTCAGTGCAGTCAACAGGAGCACCATCTGGGGTGGCTACCAGGCCGAGTAATGTGAAAGACAAAATGCAGAGCATGACCACCGACCAGGCTGACATTTTTATTGCACACTCACTTTAACTCTTGGCAGGGTGACAGTTGGTGGTTCAGCCAGTGCCACATAGGATCTCACATGGCCTGCATTCTTCATCTTGTCAAGGAATGCAACCTTGCCATCATCCTGGGTGAAGTCTGCTCGGAGTGCATCAATTATCATCCAAACCAATTTTGGAGAATGTCCTTCCAAAACAACACTGAAAAAGGAAACAGATTTGAATAAGATAAATGATAAAGAAGCACATACAGTCATCAGACATCAGCCTTGATATCAATACTAATGACCATTATTCTGAGTTGAGCATAATTACGGAGCGAGCGGAGTCTTTCCTTTTAACGGAAATTTCTGAGTATGAGCGGCCGGCCGGCCGTGCGGACGCTTTTGCGAGGCTTATATCTCAGCAACCACTTAACCGATTTACACGCGGTAATTTTTGTAGGGTAGCTTCATTCCTTCTACCAAGTATTGGACTATTCCCGATGCATGTGGGTGACCCCTTATGCACGTGCCACGTGCAAAACGAAGAGGTGTCAGTTTTGTAATTGTTGCAATATCTTGGTAACTACTCGGCCGATTGCGCTGAAAGTTGGCATGTAGGTAGGCACCCATTAGGCACTCCATATCCATGTGCCAGAGTTGGGGTGCTGCTGCACATGCGCACGTGCAGGGGTCGTTTCCAGATCTCAAGAACGGCTGGACCGATGGCGCTCAAATTTGGTACACGGTTAGGGAACAGTTAGTAGGGTGCCGTGCACAAGTCAGTTGGGACCCATTTTACACGTGAGCACATGCAGGGTGCCGCTTCCAGATCTCGAGAACGGCTGGGCCGATTGTGCTCAAATTTGGCACATCGCTAGAGACCGGTTAGTAAGGTGCCGTGCACAAGTTAGTTGGAGGTACCCCCTCGAAATTTCGCACGTGCAAGGCCCACCCTCTCGCTCACTCTGTTAGTCACCCCAAAAGGCGTCATACTGGTTTAATTAAGATACACTTACCCCTACCTGTAATAGACACATCACATTTTATCATCACAAACATGCCTAAACAGGTACTCTTGCTACTTACTAGGCAACACGCTTACAATAACTAAGTTCATTTCCAATTTGGTTCAAGTTTCAGACCTTAAAAACATTTAGGATTTGGTATATAGGAGGGGGGGGGGGGGCATAATGGGCATAAACATCACACACCCTCTTACCCACCTTTCATTATAGTTGTTGCTTCCACTGTATATGCTTCTTGGAGTTGGAAAATATCCAATCATGAAAATAAAACATCCTATCATGTACGAAAATGCAGAAAATGTCGGATTTATCAAAAGACTTCCCATTACCTCATTTCTAATGATAAACAGCCCCTTCAGCCTCCCTCTGCTCATAAGCTCAGCTCATAATGCAAGAAAAGAATGACAACTTCACTCCACGGTATAAGGGAACTCGAACTACTTCACTCGAAAAGACTCAGTTTCAGTTTCGACCTAACTCTTTTCACTGTTCTCACTTCACTCAATATACCCTGTCACTTCACTCTCCCAACTTCACATCAACACTTGCAAGCATGTCTATGTCTGTTCAGAAACTAAGATGAACGAAATGAAACGATGTGAGCAAAATAAAATGGCTTGCTTGTTGACACGTTGCCAGGCAATTATTTCTAAAATGAAGTCATACCTACAGCGAACAGCAAAAAGAATACATTATATGCACCACCTGCGCAGCTTTTGTGAACGATTTGAAATCGATTGCCACTATTAAAATAAAATGTATTTGTGATCATGAGATAACTGTAATATATTTCAGATTGGAATATGTTTCATATCCAGATTTTGAGAAAATTAGATGGCAGCTTTGAAAAATCATTTACAGCCGAAAAATTGCACGTTTGAGGCAGAAGGTGCCTTTGAAAGTTGCATTATAGAGTTCAGTGGTAAATTGATATCGATTAAGTACAGCTTTTTTACTTTTACATCGTGATATTTATAGATAATGTGAAGTTTAAGTCTTAAGTTTGCAAATTACCTATGTATTACGTGTTTTGAAACTAAAATAGTAATTCCTTCGTTTCAGATTGATCCAAGTTACGTCATTTTTCCAGTTCATTTTTTTGCAGCAATTTAAGGATGATGCGTGGTTTCCGGTCCGCCATGTTACTTGTTCTTTCTTTTCATGTGCTTGGCACATATGGCGCTCGGTTGTCAGCGTATTGTAGATATTTAGTCGGAATTCGGCGTTATTATTGAAGAGAGTGTCATAATAACGCTGTCGAAATGGTCTCTCGATACTTTCAGAGACCGGAAAATGTCCGGAAAAGAGCGTTAGGTACGTATTCACTGCCAGTCTGCAGTGCTTTCGACCTCATCATCCACATCAACATAAGTTTTGCGGCATTTCCATATATTATTCGTCTTAAGGATGCTATGCATAGGTTGCTGTATCAATATTGTAAAAATGGTTCGAATAAAAATATTTTGCTTTTTGCTAATTTTGCTTGGTTGTTAATCACTGGTTTGGGCGATTCAGCGACTGGGAATTTCGGTAAAAGTATACATTGAGTCCGAGTGACTGTAAAAAGATAAAGTTTTGGTAAATGTCAAGTTTAAGTCCTAAGAAGATTTCATTGATAAATTTTTCATATTTTTACATTATTTGACATCCTGAATCCAAAAATGATACTCATATGTCTTGCAAATAAAAGAAAAAAACATAATCAAACCTGACCTAACCTTACCTACTTACCTATAACCTACCAGCCTACAACCTACAAACCTACCCTAACCTAACCTAACCTACAAACCTACCTACCTACAACCTAAAACCTACAAACCTACAACCTAACCTAACCTAAAACCTAAAATTTTTGCTGTTTCATATTCGTATCAACAGCGTCACAATTGTAGTTAGGACCTAAACTTGACATATACCAAAGTTTTCATATTCTTACATTATTTGACATCCTGAATCCAAAAATGATACTTATATCTCCTGGAAATAAAAGAAAAAAACATAATCAAACCTGACCTAACCTTACCTATTTACCTACAACCTCAGTTGGGGAAACTACGAGGAGCCAAACAAAATTGGATTAGCCAATCAACGGCTGGAGTGGGCGGGGCGATGACCATATATGGTCATAAAATCAGGAGACCAGAGTATTTGAGTTACCTAGTACCTACCTAGCTTTGAGTTACCTTACCTACCTAGTACCTACCCAGCTAGCTTCTTTAGGGCTGTTCATTGTTTTTTTATTACTTGAATGGAAAAGGTTACATATTGCATTTGATCTGGGGGAGTTGTACACTTCTCACAGCATGGTCATTTTCCTCTGGCATCTGCTTAAGTCTCTTTCAAGATATACCATTTCCTTACCCCATAAACATCCCCAAGACCTGCATGTCTTGAAGATGCTGCTTATTGCTGAAGGAATATTCAATGTAATATTCACATTTAAGGCAAAGTTTGAGCCCCACCAAAGGTCATTGACTTCAACTGACCTGCAATCTGGACATGACCCAATTATACAAAATTTACAAAATCATAAATTTATTGTTGCTCCAATACATAGGTGCAAAAAATGCCCAATGAAGTTGTACTGTGCCACATACATACATTTAAAGGTAGTGTGCCACCTTCCAATGATTTCCCATTTTATTTTTCCTAGGATAAGAAGCTTCTGTTTTTACCTAATATCGCAAAAAAATAAAAAATGGGCCTAAAATAGTGCTTTTTTCGCTTAAAAGTTTATCGGTTTTTCGATATGTATAACAACTGTAGTGGGCTGGCCTGCAAACAGGCGTCGGCAACAATCGCGAATGCGGCGCACATGTGACAATAAGCAAAGGTCATTATAGAGTTACGACGTACGGGAATGAGTTATCAGCTGTCTAATCGTAGACAACACTATGTCAAATTTAAACTGTAAGCCTGTATTGGTATTGTTTCTTTAATTTGGCTGTGGAACATTAATTTATGGTTTGAAATATTACTTTTTGTAAAATAATTGATATGAAACAGCTGTCTCTTAACCCGCGAGTTGCTGGGGGGGGGGGCGTTAAACGCCCCCACTTTTTTCGCCGGGCCATAGCATAAAAACGGCGCGCCGCAGGCGCGCCAAATTTTAGGTACCTGTAGGAAATTGATTGAAGTATATTGTGACAAAGTTTCAAAAAAATCGGTCGGAAAAGTTTTGAGATATCGAGGTTTTAGTGACGTCATGTTTTCTGAGTTTTCGACCAAAAACGGCATATGTTCAAAAAATCATATAAAATCACAGAATAGACATACAGACATGCCGTAAACGCCATTAGACTGCCAATACCATGATCAATCAAATGGCTATCTTCGATTATTGATTATCGTTCCGCATTTTCCAAAATCTTGAATTGAATCTTGGCAATTTTTCGTGACTACTTCACGACCATGATACATGAATTTCTTAAATTGAACTTTTTGAGTCAAACACGTACACATATGATAAAATGAATGTCACCATCGTGTTCTACGCCCCAAATTACCTATAAAACATGTGTCACAGGCTGCGAATATCAGTTTTGATTTTCGGGCATATGTGCCTACCCGGTTGACCTGACCTTGACCCTGACCTATGCTTGACTGACCCCTATACGGAGCTGACACTCTTGTAGGCCTTATAAGATGGATTGTGCACCGTTTTGACAGAGTTTATGGCGAGAGGCGCCCATTGTGAAGTCCTGAAGTCCATGCTACTGAAAGCCCGATTTCAGGTGTTTGACCTGACCTTGACCCGACCTGTGACCTCAAAATTCAACTTTAAAGTACTCATCTGAAGCGTCTCGTCGCGCTCTTTCGTTTGCCGCCTCGTGCGTTTCGCTGCGCCTATTGGTTCTCGAGTTATCGGCTGGGGGCGTTTAACGCCCCCCCCCCCCCCAGCAAACGGTGGGTGGCGAAATACCCCAGCAACTGCCGGGTTAAGTTATGACCCCATCTCACCACATGAAAGTGACAGAAATGACAATGATCAGCTGACGCATTTTTCTTGGCCGAAATCAGAGCGCGCGGCCCGACGCATCACCACCGCACCACAAAGTATGAGCAGAAGCCGCGCCCAAAGCCAGGGCCCCGGTAACGTGAGGTAGCCGAGTCGGGGCAGCGTGCGCTGACCCAAGCCGGGGCCGCGGCTTTGGGCGCGGTCTACCGCATCCCCGGGCAGCCCCGGGCTATCACATGACACCGGGAGGACGCGCGGCCCCGGCTTGGGTCAGCGCACGCTGCCCCGACCCGGCTACCTCACGTTACCGGGGCCCTGGCTTTGGGCGCGGTCTACCGCACCACTTAACAGGCGTGTTCGAAACCGCAGGAGATGATGATGAACGGGTTTATCGAAACTTGATGGCACACTACCTTTAATCAGCTTTTTGTTCTGATGTCACGAGAGAAAAGGGTTCAGAACTCAGAGGTCACCAGACATTGGGGGCAAATGTGATTAAAAATCAATGGTTGCTTGGTCTTAAATTAATTGAAACCTTAATCCGCGCCCTGCTGGGGGGGGGGGGGGGTGTTTGAACACCCCCTTGTGGTTTTTCACGAATATCTCAAAAACGGCGGCGCGGAGCCGTTTTTGTTACACCTTATCATACATCAATTTTACACATGTTGTTAAAATTTCAGATCAAGGTCATTCAAGGTCAGGGCTCCAGGTCACTTAAAGGGACTATCCCACCTTCTAAAATGTTGTTAAAACCAGTTAAATTGTGCCCGACTTTATAGATTGGATGACCAGGAACACGGTTCTGGCATTTATTTTTCGTTAGACATCTTAGGCTTCCCATATTCCAAACACAAACTTTCAAATATGTGACGTCACAGCCCAAAAATACCTCCTTCCCCAGGCCACATTACTGTCATAAAGCTGATTCTTTTTACTCTGTAGGCACCACAACAAAGTTCAGACCAAGTTTTAAGCGATTTTTCAACGAACAAACCCATTTAAATCAGAATGACTAAACGAAGTGACGTCACACTAACGGTCGCTCCATGTTGAAGATAGGGCCTTGTACAAGGCCCATTTTCAAATGAAGGGAACGAATTTCCTCAACACCAAGAGGCCGCGGGGGTTGCAACCTAGATAGATAGTGGTTTCTGAACCTCGCCGCAAACTTGGCTATCTCAACTCAAACCCCATGTTAAAGGTGGGATAGTCCCTTTAAAGTGACCTCACCGTATAAAAAGTTTCAATGTCTGTCATAGATACACCGAGTGACCGATCGCTTTGAAACTTTCAGCGATTGCTAAGAGCAATAGCATGTACAAAATGTATATCTCAGAATTTTGATTTCGATGACCTAAGGTCAGGTCGTCAATTTTACGACCTCCCCATTATAAGTCAATGGGGGAAAATTGAAATGCGCCTCTTTTGGACGAAAGACATTGTAAACACTCCCAAACACTGAATTACAAGTGGTTTAGACACACTGAACATGAAAATGGTGTCCGTGACCCCTGTTTATGCACTGAGGTCATCTTAGGTCACGAATGGT